AAGCCTCTTTCCCAGCCATCCACTGTTGGAAGTTATCAGGATACTAGGCTAGACAGATCTTTCATTTAAACTAGCATTGATGTAAAGGCATCCAAATACAAGTAAATATTCAATGGAAGTTTACATGTTTAAGATGTTTTGTTATCATAGAAGTCTAGAAGTATGTAGCAGTCAAGCATCTAAATCATACAGGAGATTTGTAAATACTTGTATGCTATCTAAATAACATATAGATCTGATCCTAGGCATGCCCAAGGTAAGAGAAAGTAGAATTTCCACTGCAGAATTTCCACAGGGTTTGAACAACATGCATGAAGATTATTATTTTTTTCCTAAAAAGATCTATGACTCCTGTTTTAGAAGTTAGGAAGAAATAATTGACTACAAATCAAATCCAGCCTGGTGAGAAAGCAGGGAGAACAAATGCCCAGTTTTCAGCATCGTGTACGATACAGAATGAGAGAACTACACTAGAAAAATTAAGTGATTTAAAGTAAAACAATTACTCCATCTTATTACCAACACCATCAAATTAATGAACCAAGTCAGAAATCAACCCTTCATACACACCCCTCCGGAGGTTTTCCTAACACAGTCTATCTTGATCCCTTATGTACCCATGATACGTTGACAAAGCAATCCAACAATACACTTCCCCCAAAACAACTGAAAAAGAAAAACCTTTAAAGCCATAAAGTATTTCTCAAACCAAATGCAAAACCAAGTAAGATCTAAACCTTCTGCAGCTATATAAAACAAAAGCCTCCTTCAGCATTACTGTATTGAAATGAGCTTATCGTTATTCAACTAATTCTTTTGAAGAATCAAACTTTCTTCACTTCATAGAAAACATGTCTGAGGAGGAGATGTGATAGCATCCAGGGAAAAAAGAGCAGTCACCACACCTTGGAAAACAGCCAGCTTTACTTCTTGGGTTTTCTTGGGGTTTTTTGGGGTTTGGGGTTGGTTTTGGTTTTTTATTTTTTTTTGGCGGGGGGTGCAGTGTGGGGGTCGTGGGGTGCTGTTTTGTCACAACAAAGATTTTAAAACTAAACAATATGGCAAGCTTCCTCAAGTTACATAACACAGTCACTGAACATCATGATTTTACTTTCTCTTTTCCCTTTTCCTAACTTTAAACAATGTATTTTTCAGCCATATTTTGAGTAGCAACCTTCCTAAAAATAATTTTTCCTATTCTAATCTGTCCAGCTGGTTGAAAGAAGCCATACATTTCTTGTTCTCATCCTCAATCCAAATTAAAATCATTTTTGCAGAAGAGCATTTTTACTTAATACAGAAAAAATAATATTTATTTTTGTACCTTCACATACAGATGGAGTCAAAAACTTCCCAAGCCAAACAAAATAAGGGATCCTGGCACTTTTGCCATCTAAGCCATGCAAAGACATACTGAAATTACAAGCTGATCTCATAACTTTAGTGAGGCACTGATGGCTGCAAGCCTTTTTCCTCAAAACAGCTTTAAAACAAAGGCTCGGATGAATTGACATCATAGGTATACTGTTGCATGCTCTTTTCGAAGACAAATTTCTGTATGCAATACTTATTACGGAAACAGACTGGAGCATATCTTTCGCATACAGTATCCCTGTTTAATGTTGTTAGTATTAAGCCAATCCTTTAGAAGAGCAGGCATATTTTTAATTGTCAAATCTGCTAATCTATCTCAGTAAGACCCTCCTTGCTCCTCCCAATATATTTTTTTAAATATTTCAGTTGCTTTTTTTACATTGTAACATCCTAATTCATGTCCTAGCAAAGATGTTGTTTATTGTGATCGGCTGGCATTATTTTAACTCCTGTTAAAAGACATCCTGTTGTGTTGGGAAAAATGAAAAACCTAACTTATCTGTAGTTTATGTGCACAACTACACAATGTTGCATAGTATCTGTTCACAAGCACAATGTTTTCTTTTTTAAATTCTAAACTGATAAAGAATTGTCATGCTTTACCTGCGATTTCATCTCATAAAGCGTAGCATCCTCTGGAGTCAATTGAAGTGCTTCATCCCACTTGTGAATAGCCTCTCGGTACCTGTAGTTAAAACAATAGTACAGTCTCACTATACTTAAAGATATTAGATATTTCTATTTGTATCCTGACATTGTCCCAAATAGAGTGCCATGGCATCTTATTAGTATTAATGATTTTTCTAATCACTTCCCTATAAGACATGCTGAACTGTTTTCAGGAACTGGTTATTTGTTGTTCTGACCAAATGGATGCTAAGTAGTACTGTACAATTGGCCTCAAGTGAATTTACAAGTCAATACAGGAAACCAATTGCAAATCAATTACTTAATACTAGGAACCTTGAACTACAGTCCGATTCCCCTCATTGTCAAAATCATCCTTAGTCAGGCATAAAGAAATATAATCTGAATCTAACGTGCCTTGCTACAGTCATAATCTAGAATTTCTTTTCAGTCTAAAAAGGTTGAAACATAGGAGCTGCCCTCCTGCATTTCTGTACTACAAGATACTAAAGACATCTGAGTAACTTTGGTATATAAATATAAGAAGGAAGTTGAAAGTGAACAGCTATACTGAAATCATTCAGCTTTCGGAAGGTATACAGTAGCTTCATAATATGTTGTCCTTCCCTAGAAAACAGAATACAACAGAAGAGTTGACCAAAACCAAGAAAAAAATAGGTCTTTGTTTTGAACAAAGAGGTTAAACTTGGACAAATGCATACTAGGGTTTTGAACGATACTGAAGAAGTGTAACAGTGTAATAAGATGCTGTTACATGAGTGCAGTCTTTCAGCCCTCAAGGTGGCCTCAGATTAACATTAACAAGTCTGTGGAGTGCCACATGTTCTCTGAATCATTTCAAAATCCACCACTGTTATGGAACTGTGTAGGAACTCTTATATTTATATTAATTTCACTGCAAAGGTATGAAAACTGTTATTCTTGATAGATAAGAGACACTGCAATTTTAATATAGTATAGATAAAACTAAAGTAATTTTCACACACGCTTCATATGGAAACAGTTTTTCCCTACTCGCCATTCTTCCTTCCCTTTCCCTTCCCCATTTTTCAGACCCCTGTCTTGTACTACACCTCCAGGTTTCCAGAGCAGTCACATGAAGACTTCAAAAAGTTCTGAACTGACTGGGAATAGAAGAATAGATGGGGAAAACAATGCAACTGAAGTCAAACTTTCATTATGATTCAGGTACTATTAGTTTGTAAATAACACTGATAAGTATTTGAGTGCTAAGCAAAGGATGTTTTAATAAATTTTCACATTTCCTCAAACTTTAGCCACCAGCTGTGCATTTGTCATCTCAGTTCATTCTCCATGGGCAGGTGTTCACACTAATGGAAACATCACCACATTTTCTACATATGTCAGTAGAAGCCTTAAGCTGTCATTTAGTTAGCAAGAACTACTTTTTGAGTAAAAGATCAGTTTTGTTCAAGACCTAGCACAGACATAACACAATAAAACCTACATGAGTAAGTCCTCAGCTCAGTTAGGTGGTATCCTCGCCATGCAGCAAGGCGCAATATTGTGAATGTAGCAAAAAAGTTTAGAAAAAGACCATTTTGGAAAACAGAGCAAATACAGTAATGACATCAGTAACCAGGACAGAAGGAATAACACTGGCATTCTGTAAATAGAAAGAAATAAGACAGAAGTTGCATTTCAGGAATCTTCATTTTTACTTCTACAGAGGGACGTCACTGCTCAAACGAATGCGATAAAACCTCATAGCAAGAACGTGCTGCCTCTAAAGGGAACACCAAATATAAGTAAATATTCCCCTAAATCTTGTTGGGTTTTGCTGCCGATTTGTCAACAGTTTGTCAACAGAATAAAGACGGGCAAGGGAAAAGAGGTGGTTCATTCACAGAAATGCTGTCCTACACGTATATATGTTCTGTGTATGAACAGTGAGTTATTCAACTCCACCTGCGAGCCTCAAGAGAAGTGACGACAGAATGCTGGAAGCTCTTTGAGGACTGAGAACACAACAGAAGAGGGCTGGAGAAAGAAGATTTGTCTGCAGGTACATGCTAACCGCCTGCTCAAAAAGACTGACCACTGATTACCAGTTTACAGCGTGGAGATATCCACATGGCTGTGAAATATTTATCTTTTCGGTGCATATATTTCCTTAAGAAGAAAGTCTGATAAAATGTGACTGTTCTATCCTTTTAAATACTGAGGAAAACAGATGTTTCCATTGTTGTCTCAGGAAAAACTAAGGACACTGTTCTTAAGAGAAATTGAGTCATGTTGCTTGCTCTAGTAATGCAAATTTAGGAAAAAAAAATCCTTTCTATAAAGATAGTCCATTAATCACAGAATTTTCTACATCATTCTATTGAAGGAAAAGACTATATACTGTATTAATTATCAAATGCTTTACTTAAAAAGTTGCCTGGGGATATAAGATATAGTTGTAAAGTCAATGTTCCAGTAAATGTTTTAGGAAAGCCATAAGCCTTGGCTGAAATAAGAAGTGAGGCAACACAGGGGTAATGTTGTAAAATAAATAATTAAAAAATAGATCATTTTACTGGGTCTCAGTACTTTTATTTGAGCTGAACTGTATGGGACCTTTACCATTATAAAGAGGGAAAACTAGTTTCAAAAAGGAAAACTTCACTATAAATATGACATCTGCTTTTAATCTGGGTTTAATTAACACAAATTTAATGAGCATTCCATTTGCTATTCCAATTTCTTTTCTTAGCAAGTAAATAAACTGACATAGTTGTGTGTCTAGCAGGTAACAAGCTTGCATGAATCAGCTGAGCTGCAAAAGCTGCCATGTCACGGCTGGCAAAAATGAAGTAACAAATTTTAGCTTAATGCTGTTCACCGAGGTCTACCTGAACTTCTTCCCATCTGCCTGATATGGAAAGAGAGCACACATGTTCAGAACACATGCTAGGGCACAGACAATGCACAGTACCATGCATTTGAATCTTACGTCCCTTCAGAAAAAGGGATATGAAACCTAGCACTTCAAAAATTACAGTAGCTTGTATCAAAAATAACATCTCAGAAACAAGAATGAGACTCAAAAGATCCATTCACTGGTGATGCTATAAACCTTCTTCAGATACATACGATATTTATCAAATAACTCCTGCTTTGAGTAGGAGTTAGCATAGAAAATCTCCTCGGGTTCCTTAGGATTATATGATTACGTCTTGGCTAAATGCAAAGAAATTTTAAGCAAAATATAATCTCATAACAAATAGACCCATTAATTTTTAGAAGCTTGTAATTACTATAAAAACTTATCTAATCTAGCAGTAAAGAAGTCACAGAATCTTAATCATGGGCATTATCTTGATTTTATAGTACATCAAATTAATATTTCAAGCAAAAGTAAATCCCTAATCTGTATATATCTATTGTAACTAAGCATCTAAACTCCAATAATAAATCATTTTAAAGAAAAGACTATCATATTTTGAAGTATTGAATTACTATTTATGTGATTGTAGGGATACAGTATACTTATATACCCACAGTGATTTCAGTAACATAGTATGTCTCACTACAAAAAAATCATACAATTATAACCAGAACTTAATTATAATTTTCGCTTCTATATTGCAATGCCAGAAAAAGGAATAAATTACTGAGAACTGGATACATCTGGGATGGCTTCAGTGTAGAAGATTTGATGGATCTTGCCAATTTTTATTTAACAGCATATGAAATCCCATAGCTCCCCTGAAGTACTAAAACTGCTCTCTTCAGATATGCTACTGACCATCTGGGAGCTATACAGACTTGGCACGTTTTACAACAGCTTGCTAAACTTTTGAAACAAACATCTTGTGCTTACACTTCACTTTTTCAACACCACTTCTGGGAAAACAGGATCTCTTGAACTCTTAACAAAATGATTAAAACAAATTTGTATTTCCATAAAAAATATTTAATTGGAGGTTTCTGGGTAAAAAAAACAAACCCTGTTCAAGTTATACAGAGATGGTTTTGAATCATACATATATAATGCTAAAAACCATCACTGGAGATTCACGCAGGATTTAGAGTTCTGTAGCTTTACTCTGACAGGCTGGCCATAGTTGATGCTTAATGAAGAGACTGAGACAGGGCATGCTCAGGGTGACACTGAAAATATCTGAAGATATACTGAGGAGTGAGATGGTATCACATTCAGACAAAATGAGACAGGTCTGCAGGAGAGAGGCAGAGCACAGGACTACAGTGTCAGGAGAAGGGATGAGGTAACGTTACTCCTGGGAATTCTGACAGGACTTGGAGGGACACTCCTACAATCAGATGCTACAAGAGGATGAGGAAAAACACGGTTAGACAGTGCTAAGGAAGGGTAGAAGAAAACAACATTTTAAAAAGTATATGGCTGTCAAATACTGATATCATAGAGGACAAACGTCAATGGTCTATGGCCACCAGAAACACCAGCTAGAACAATTTTAATCTAGTGTAGAGTCAAATTCAGACTTTGGTGGAAGGTAAAGAACACTAGTCAGTAATTATACAGAGTACATAAAAAGGAAAGAGAAATTCAAAGCAAAGCAGAAGCTGATTACAGGAACAGACTTCTCTTTTTAAGCTGGGAGATCATGCAGGGCTAGACTGTGGGAGAAAAGATTCAAAGAACAGGTGAAGGAGGAAACTAAAAAGAAAAAAGGAGAAAGAAGGTAACGTGGCTTTTTTGTGTTTAACAACTTCAGAGTCCTCTAACTCAGCTAGGTTTTTACAGTAAAATACTTCCTCTGCTGGGGGTCAGAGGGAGGAGCATGGCACTTTACAGAAGCATCTAGAGAAGAACAGTGTGTAGGAACATGGAAAAGAAAATTGTTGGTGTAAGTGCACGCAGAAAATTCTTATCCATAGTTAGTGCCATACAGCATGTTTAACCTCACTAGTAACCTTCACAAGATTAGTAAGTCTTTAAACATATGAAGTACAATAGTAAATGTTCTTTTGAAGTCTTAGCAATTCTATTTCTTTTTTATTGCAAACAATCCATAGCTATTTTATGGTAAATAAAGTGTCACACATTAC